CTTTAATTTTTTAAATGATAAAGGGATATTGTATTTTGTCAAAGCCTTTTTCTGTGTCCTTTGAGATGATCATGCTTACACAACAAATTACATTTATTGATTTGCATATGTTGAACAATCTTTGTATCCACAGATGAAACTGACTTGGTCATGGCATATGATCTTTTTGATGATTTGTTGAATTCTTGTAAAATTCAGTTTCCTGTTGCATGGAATATTGTTTTCCTTCCTTTGATTTTTAGTCTAAGAATTGTCTTTTTATTTTGGATTAAATGTGTTTCTTGTATATATGTGATTGGATTTTATTTCTTGATTTATTCTACTAATCTGTGTCTTTTCACTGACAACTTTCAACCTTTCACATTAATAGTTAAAGCTCATCAGATCCTGGGTTTTCTTAATTGGTAGATTTTTGTTACTACTTCAGTTTGATTGGCTCTTATAGGATTGTTCCACATAATTTAGTTTTCTTTGTTCAGTTTCATTAATATTTACCTAGGAATCTCTCCATTTCTTCTGAGTTCTCTAAGTTTTTGACACTAAGGTTTATGAAATACTCTTGCTAATAATATTCAGAATTTCAGTAGTATCTGTTGTGATTTCACCTTTTTCATTTCTAATTGCATTGATTTATGTCCTTTTCTTTTCTTCTTTTTTTTTTTTGGTAAGATTAACTAAGAATTTATCCATTTTGTTAATTCTACTTTCAAAGAATTGGTTTTTTGACTCATTGATCTTTTTTTTTTTAGTCTCCATTATATTGATTTCTGCTCTCAGCCTTATAATTCCCTTCCTTATACAAGCTCTGCATCTGCATTGTTCTTGTTTTTCTAGGACCTTGAGGTACATCACTATGTAATTTATTTGCACTTACTCCATTTTCCTGATGTGGGCACTTACAGCTACATAGAACTTCTCTTATTGCATCCTGTAAGTCTTGTATGTTGTGCTGGCATTATCATTTAATTCTAAGAACTGTTAATTAATTCTTCCTTAATTTCCTATGTGACCCACTCATTATTCAAGAATGTGTTGTTTAATTTCCATGTGTTTATATAATTTCCCTGGTTTCTTTTGCCATTGTTTTGTAGTCTTATTTCACTGTGAGTTGATAACATTCATGGTAAAATATTGATTTTTTTTGTATTTGTGTAAGCATACTTTGTTACCTAGTACATGGTCTCTTTTGGAAAAAGTTCCATGTACTGCTGAAAAGAATATGTATTCTGTTGCTGGCAGAAACACTGCATATATATCTACTGTCTAGTTATTTGAAGTTTGGTTCAACTCTGAAATTTGTTTTTTGATTTATTGTTTAATTGATTTATCTATCTGTTATAATGGGGTATTAAGGTCACCTACTATAATTTTGTTGATACTTATCTGATCTTTTATGTTCATAAGGGTTTGCTTTATGAAGTTTGTTGCATATATGTTTATAGTTTTTATCTCTTCCTTTTGAATAGTTCTGTTAACCAATATGCAATTTCTGCCTTTGTCTCTTTTGATCAGTTTTGGTTTAAACTCTACTTTGTCTGAAAATAAGATTGTTATTTCTTCTGGTTGTCAGGTTGCTGTTGTATAGAATATTATTTTCCTTCCTTTGATTTTAAGTCTATGTATTTCTTTTCTGGCTAAGTGTATTTCTTATGTACAATATACCATTAGATTTTGTTTCTTGATCTGTTCCTCTAATCTGTGTCTTTTGATAGTAAATTTCAACCACTCACATTAATAGTTATAATTAATAGATAATGACATTCCTATCATTATATTACTTTCTATTGCTGTTTTCCTTTCCTTCCCTTCTTAATTTGTTGCCCTACGTGGTGCATTCTCCTATTGGACCTTTTGGTATTTCTAGCTTCATTGTCTTTCTTTAAGATATCCCTAAGAATTTTTCATAGTGTTGTCTTGTTGGTAATTGTTTTTGGTGCTCTTTATCATGTAAATATCTTACTTTACCAATTTTGGAAGATATATAAGTCTGTATTGAAAAATGATTTTCTTTTAGGCCTTTAAACACTTCATTTGAAGCTCTCCTTACCTTTAGGATTTGCACTGAGAAGTCTGAAATTGTGTTGAAAAGTCTGCAATTCTGATGGGTTTTCCATTATGAATTATCTACTGCTTTCAACAGCTTTTAAAATTCTGTTCTTGCTTGGACTTCTAGTACATTAATTATAATGTGGCATGGAATTTTTTTTTCCTCATCACAACTACATAGAGCTCTATATTGCTTATTTATCTGTATGATAAATTATTTTTCCATGTCTGAGAAGTTTTCTGCCATTACTACTGTAAACAGGGTTTTTTATACCCTTTGTGCTGACTTCTGATTTTTCACTAACTCTAGTTACTCTTAAATTAGTCTTTTTATCATATAGCAGCTATTGGATCCATTATTCATGGGCTCTTTTTTGTTGTTGTTGTTGTTGTTTTTTTTTTTTTTTTGCTACTAGGGATGTTTTTAAAGTATCTCTCATGAATTAATCACCAACTTTAGCTCTGTCTTTGAGATCTGACACTCTGTCCTCACATTGGTTGCTTCTATGGCCCATGCTTTCAATCATATTTTTAATTTCCTGGATTTCTGTTTGGAGCTTGTTTATGGACTCCCATTCTTTTCTATACTGGGCATTTATGTTTTGCATCTCTTTTTTAGCTCTGCTAGGTTTTTATTGAATGTTCTCTAGACTTGCTGATCATTTGTTTCATTGGGATCATTATCTGTTTAGTTCTATCTTCTTTGAATGTCACCAAGCATCTTGTTCATCTGTTTCATTACTGATATCCTTTCAGATATTTCTACTGTGTAGCTTTTGATTTCCTCTCCCTTTATGCCTCCTGAATTGGCTTTGAGGGAATTGGGAGTCTTTGAGGGGATTCTGTTGCCTTGTCTTCTCATATTTCTGGATTTTCTTGTTTGTTTTCTGTGCTGGTGTTTGCTGTTTGACGATAGCTCTGTTGTAGTGATATCCTGTGAGTGTGGCGTTTGCTTTTGTCCCAGGATATAGCTACCTCTGTTTATTTAGGAGAAGAGGTTGAAACTTATTTGTTCCAGTACCTGATTCTTTGGGAATGGGCCATGATATTATTTATGATCCCCTGACAATCCAGATATTGAAATACACAGAAAACCAATGGACAACAACAACTATATCATCTTGGCCATAGTGGTAAAGTCAGCAAATATAAACTGGATACAAACAGACTCTAAGAACCACTCATGAACCATGTTTAATCAAATCCAAGAGATCTATGATTTTAGTATAGACACTAAGGCAAATCAGATTTTTACCACAGTAAATCAGACACTGGTCTCTGATGGATACAGGCAGTGTTACAAGAGCTCAAGCAACCTATTGGACTCAATGCTATCACCTCCAGATCCAGCCCTCTCTGAGGGTTACACCCACCAAATCTACCCTTGCACCACTGAATGAAGCCCCTGCAATCATCCAGGCTCAAGCTCGATTTCTCAGGATATTTAGGGGTATCTATTTCTAGCCTTCACTCTTTCTCAGTCTGTCTTCTGTGGCTATCTCTTTCCTGGTCTCTACAACAGGGTAACACTTCAGCCCTGGAGTGGAACTCTCCTCCAAGTCTCATCCTCAATTTGGTCAGTCATTTGATTGTCACTCTGCCACTCTGTGCAAAGGATAACTAAGGTAAAGAGCAGTTACAAGTTGGTAGTTTGACTCTGGTGGTGATTGCCAAGGTAGGTGGGGTCCTCTGCATTTTTCAAGAACAAGTAATCTAAAGAACAAAATAGTCACCTATCATATTTTTTTTCATCTATTTTGCAACTTGGGAAAAGACTTCATGGAAATAAATCACACTAAGATCTCAAGAAATACTGCATCCCAGACAATATAGAGGAAATGAAGACAGCATGCTCTGGAAGACTGTGTTGGTTGTGGTAATAACAGAGACTATGAGAATAACCAAAACTGTATGTCTAATTAACATGACTTACTATAATACATTCTGAATATATACATAAGCTAAATGTAACAATTAAGTTTAATTGTCAACTTGATCAGTTTAAGAGGCTCTGGAGTGGTGATTGGGTTATAATGCATTACAGTTATCAGTGGATTCATCCACTGAAGATAGTAGCTGAATGGCCTGTTACGAGGTGGGACTGAGTTAGAAAAGGTAGGTCACTAGGAGGGGGGCCTCTGGAGGGAAAATCTCTTACTAGCTTTCATTTCCTGTGCTGTGTTTCTTGGCCACCATGAATTAAGCAACTTTGTTCCACCTTTCCTTTGTGACATGATGTTTCTGGAACCAGTCATTTATGTTCTTTATCACCAGCTTTTTTTCACAAAAATAGTAATTAGAAGTAATCCAATGAAGAAACACATACTACATTTGCTTATGTTTTCTTTTAAGTCCTCTGTACCTGTTCTTTCTTTTATGATAACTGACTTTCTGAAAGACCCAACCAACTGTCATATAGAAAGTTCTACATCATCGATTATGTGATTATTTTCTCATATCATTTATTATGTGCCTCTATTTTGATATTTCTTATATGTACCAGAAGTTAGATATAAGAACTAAACTAATTTCATGTTAAACTTTTAATACATGATGCTGTTCATTGACTGTTACAAGAAAATAAAAGCTGTATGTTCCAGCATTTGTGATAATAAACTGGTTCAGATAATGATTCCAGATTTGTGATTAAGCAGTAATCTATGGGGTTATATTTTGGCATCATACAAACACCCTATTCCTCATTGCCTTTTCACCTAATGGTTTAAATATCTTTCAGAATTTTTTCTTAAATCAATTATTTCATTATAGGTTGTAAATTAAAATTTACATTTATGAAATTCTCTTCAATGTTCAATTTTCAATTTTTTCCGAACAGCTTTTGCAATCTTAAATATATTTGATAAAACTGAAAAGCTAGAAAGTAAAAGAATTTAACTACTATACTATATTTGTAATAAAAAATGGCTAATGTTGGATTCTCTTTGTATTTTCAGCAAAATGGAAACTCACATGTTTATGCAAAGACTATTGTGGAATCCTTCGAGGAACCGCCTCTTCCTACTTTGGTTACCACATACATGGGATATGGAATCGTAACCCTGTTTGGCTATTTCAGAGACTTTTTAAGAAACTCAGGATTAGAAAAATGCAACGCAGCTGTAGAGCGAGAAGAACAAAAAGTACGTATGTGCATCTCCCAGGGTCTTTGCCAGTGTCTACTCATCTCCAAAGTTTTCTTAGAAGTGGTGATGCAAAATGATATAGCAGAGTGATATGGTAGAAGACATGAGGATGAATTCCATTCATCTAAACACATCCTATTGTGTTCTTGGACTTTTTTGTAATTACTGAACAATGATTAATTGCCAGGTATTTAATTTAAGGCTTTCCTATACATTACAATGTTTAACATATATATAACAATCCCATGAAATAAAGATTAGAATATCATTTTAAAAATTAAAAACTTCAAAATATAAGAGCAAGAGCACTTCAGTGAGAGTGTACTCTGGTCTTCTAGGTATAGATTGAACGTTATTTATGTGCCATCTTGAAATAGGAAGGTTTGTCTGAGTGAAATGTGACATCTTTTTTTCACACTATAGATATATTGCACTGGATAATTCTTCAGTGTAGTAGGCTATCCTCTGCATGATAAGAATTTTAATAGCATCCCTGTTCTCCACACACCAGATTAGTCATTAGTACCAACACCCCCACTTGTAGTAATCAAAAATTCCTCCACTGGCTGCCAAAATCTCACAGGTGCTAAATCACCCATGGTTTAGAGCCACTGATCCAGTTACCTTTCATAGTTAACCTGTAAAAGTCTTCGCCATCTTGCTTTTGCTCATAGTTGAAGGACAACCTAGAAAATAACCAAAGATAGACAAGGATGCTTTATTGTGTTGTTCACCAAATTAGTTTAAAATGTTTATGATGTCATGAATTTCTTTATTTCAAAATATTCTTTGAATTACTATAAGTATGAACATGGATCATTCCATGCAATAGAACCTTGAATACATCCATGCAAAGAATAAGGGTGAGGCACGAGCTTCAGTATTACAGGAGAATCACGAATTTATAACTTAACCAAGTAAGAAAAACATATTTTACACCCACTTACCAATGAATTAAATTGCACAGGACACTTCTCTTTAAATGCTCTTAAACCAAAAGTGTGCTTTCAAAAGAAAATCAGTTAGTTTTATGCTTTTACTCCATCTTACCATTAGCAAGCCCTTAAGCACATGTGCTGTATCAAGTAATAGGTGCCAATAATCATAGAAGAAAACACAGGCCCTGCCATAAGAGAACTTGAAGTCTGATATGTGAGCAGACTCACAAGAATTTCATTGCTGACAGGTGATATTGGAGAAGATAATAATGTGGGTCACGGGGACCTATGACTTGTGACTCCCTTAGGGAAACAAGAATCCATGATTCTGAGGCTTAAATGGTAGGCAGGAGTTTACAAGTAAGAAAGAATATAAAAGAGGCCATTCTAGGTCCAGGGATCTAGCTCAGTGGCACTGTGCCTACATACAAAGTGCAAGGTACTGAGTTCAATTCCCCCGTACTGGGGGGAAAAGAGAAGAAGACATTCTCAACAAGGATACTGTTTGTGCTAAAGCAAGTGCCAATTCATTAAGTAAGTCATTTGTTTTGTACCAGGCCTGTACCATAATCTGGTGATAAAAGAATAAGCAAGGTAACCTTAGTTCCTGTCCTCATGAAGCTAGCAATAGAAAAATCAAGAGTCTGATAAGCAAGAAATGCATCAGGAACAAAGAGAAAGTGAAGGCATCTGGGAGGAACAGAAAATTAAATTGAGATCTGAAGGCTGAAGAGCAAATGTGATGCAAAGAGGGATGAAGGGGTTCTACAAAAAGCGGGTATGTGGTCTAAGATGGTCCAGGGGTAAAAGAAAAATTGTGTAGTCAAAAACTCAAGGAATTCCAATGAAGATTCATTTTAAGCAAATTTGAAAGCTTCTATATTGTAATAATATATTAACAATTAGTTAAAGTATATAAAATTACTTATTTTGTAGTTTAAAAAACTGGTTAAGCATTGTAAGTTGCATATGATTAAACATAGCATTTTATTGTCTCACATTTATTATTATCTTTGCCATCTTTATGTTCTACATTCACATTGCTATCACTTATTTGGATTTTTAATTTTAAATGTCTGCTCATGTCTTGGTGTATTTGTTTTACCATATATTTTAAAATTTTAGTTTTTGTTTTACAAAATATCTAGCATTATTGGTATATAACTGAAAAACTTGTGTACTTTACAGTATACTGCATGTTTTGACATATGTATACCTTTATAAATCACTGTCATGATCAAGCTACTTAATATCTCACCTTTTTACCTTTTTTGTCTTTATTTGTGATGAAAATACTTTGGGATCCATTCTCTTAGCAATTTGAAAGTATACAGTGCACTATGATTAACCATAATTATCATCCAGTACCTTAGTTATCAGAATTTATTCATCCTGGATAATTAAAACTTTGGACCATGCCATATTTGTCTTTCTGTGCCTGTATTATTTCACTTAGTACAGTTTCCTCCTGGTCCATTTATGTGTGATGAGGAGATCTCCTTTTTAAGGCTGCATAGTATTACCTTTTGTATATACCACTTTTTCTTTATCTATTTACCTGTGATGGACACAGGGCTATTTCTGTGTTGATCACTGTAAATAATGACAAATGAACATAGGTATACAGATATCTCTTGTAGATATAGATTTAATTTCCTTAGGATATATAAAAATAAGTGGGATTGTTAGATCATGTGGTAATTCTTATTTTTTTAGAAACTTCTGTACTGCTTTCCATAATGGATGCAATCATTTCACATTACCATCAATTGTGTGACTAGATTTCCTTTTGTCAACATCTTTCTTAAAACTTGTTATCTGCTATTTCTTTATTTTTTTCTTTATTGAGTTTATTGGTACAATCTAGGTATGCAATACATTCATCATTGGGATTCTGTACCTTTACATAATAGGTCTTGATTCTCATTTTTTCCCCCTTGGCCCTGCCCTCCCTTCACCCCCTCCTCCCTTCTCCATTTACAAACACTTTATTTCCATTTTTTCAGTTTCTCATATTTTTTTCCTCTCCCTTATTACCTTTCTCCCACCCTTTCCACTTTCCCTACACCTTTAGCCCTTTACTTCCTATTTCACATTATTAATTATTTCATTAGGATCCTGTGTACTATTATAGTTTTTCACACCAAAGAAACTATTCGGTATTTCAGTTAAAGAAATCTCTGTATGAACATTAAAAATAGGGAATCCTAAAATAAAACTAAAAAAGAAAGTAAAAGAGAAAAGGCAATGATGTAACATTAAAATAATCCTTAATTCTAGAGATGAAAATGGTCCCTGAACATATTTAAATTGCTTCTTGCTCTTATAGTCGTATTCTTTTGTTTCATTATTTAGAGAATACTTTATTAGTTTCTGTAATCAAACCCATGTAGATATAACCTTACATATTTAGTACGATATGTTACCCCTGTACACACGGAAAAAAAATAAAAATAATAATAAATTAACATTTCTATACCAATATGGCTGTCCATTTCTGTATAATGCCAACTCAACACAGTAAATTGGGGTGACTTTTTCCAAAGTTGGAAGCACCGTTAAAGTTTCCCAAAATTCAATTACACACACTAATAATACTATGTTATACATTGATAGCAGCAACAGCTTTTTCAGGTTCTGCAGTTATCTGAACAAAATTATAGACATTCAGCACATTCCATTAAAAACAAAACGAAACAAAAAAAAAAAAACAAAGAAAAGAATAATATCCAGAAAACAACAAAGTTGTGTTACTTTTGTGGTATGGTACCTGGGACCATTTTTTTTTTTATTAGCATCTTAATCATCATCTGGAAAGAGAACATTCTAGAGTAATATCATTAAATGTAGCTCTGATAAAGCACGGTCCCTACTATGTATTATAAAGCAGGTACAAGATATTTTATATTCATAGAGGTATGATACAGTACAGTCCCACATCAATAATACTAGAATCAGTTTTGGTTTGAAATTTACTTTGTCTGCAAATAAGATTGCTACCCCTGCTTCTTTCTGAGCTCCTGTCACATGGAGAATTGTTTTCTATCTTTTCACTTTCAGTCTATGGGTTTCTTTTCGCACTAGGTGTGTTTCTTGTATACAACATATTATTGGATTTTGCTTCTTATTCCATTTTGCCAGTCTATTTCTCTTGATTGGTGAGGTGAGGCCATTGACATTGCTGGTTATAACTGATATGTACTGACTTATTATTGACATGTTATTGGCCTTTTGTTGACTCTTTTTACTTTTTCACCTTCTCCTATTAATTTCTTGCCTTGCCTATTTGATTTGCTCTGTTGGGCCTCATGGTGTTGCTGCCTTGATTGTCTTTTTCTAGGATCTTGTTTAGAATTCTTTGTAGTGCTGGTTTGGTATTCATGTAGTTTCTCAGGTGTTCTTTGCCATGGAAGTGTCTTATTTCCCCCTCCATTTTGAAAGAGAGTTTTGCTGGATAGATCAGTCTAGGGTGGAGGTTGTTCTCTTTTAGTACTTGAAATATCTCATTCCAGGCTCTCCTTGCCCCAAGGGTTTGTGTTGAAAAGTCTGCTGTGATTCTGATGGGCTTTCCTTTGCATGTGATTTGTTTCTTTTCTCTTACTGCTTGTAGTATTTTGTTCTTCTGTTGGTTTTCTGGGATCTTGATTATTATATGTCTAGGTATAGATTTTTTTTTGATTGTGGCTAGTTGGGGTCCTATATGCCTCACTTATCTGAATGTCAAATTCTTCCCCTCTGTTTGGGAAGTTTTCTGTCATTAATTCTGTGAACAGCTTTTTTAAGTCTTTTGTATTTTCTCCTGCTACTTCATGGATTCCTATCAGTCTTATGTTATTCTTCTTTGCACCATCTAGGAGTTGTCTAATCGATTTCTCATGATCTCTTACTGTTTTTAAGAGATCTCTCTTTTCATGGTCACTGACTGAAATCTTATCTTCTATATTTGAGAATCTATCTTCACATTCTTTTATTCTGTTGAGTACAGTTTCAATAGAGTGTTTAATCTCCTGGATATCTGTTTGACTCTGTTTTATGGATTCCATTTCTTTCTGTGTTGGG